GTTGAAATGTTGAAAACAATGAAAACCAAAGGAAATCATCAAGCACCAACATTGAAATGGAAAGGTATCCTCAAAGTTCTAATCAACTATGGACATACCACACATCCCTCCAAAGGAGAGATGGAGTTTCCCTAGGAGGACTTCATGTCATTGGATGGAATAGAAGCAAACAATGCATTCTATGTTTGATGAAGAAATCAAAACTAGCTCTAATAGCCCTTCCTAAAATCCTAATTTCCTAAGCTCCTAAAACAACTCCTAAAGGAAAAGGAAACTTCAACTCCAAGCTCCAATCTTCAATCCACAACAGCTACATCAAGTCTAGAAGACCTCCAAAAATGGATTCCAAGCCAAGCAAGCTCCAAAGTCACCAACCAAGCCAAACAAGCAAAGGTACTCAAGAGAGAACAACACAAACACAAGCAATTTTCAAAATTCAACAAAAATATAAAACAAAGTTGTAAAATTCTAATTAAATTCCTAGGGGAACATACATGTTTGAAAAGCCTAGGGTTAAAATATTAAAGCCTAATTCAATGTCTAAGTCACCTAAATAATTTCTAGATTGAAATGTATCAAGATAATCCACAAGTTTGGGAAGGCTCTAATCTCAACACCTAAAACAGAACCTAAAGTTGTTTTAACATTCTAATAAAAATCCTGAGGGAACACGAATATCTACCCTAAAACATACTAAAAAATCAAAGCCAAATTCATCACCAATTAGAAGAACAAAATTCAACAAAACAGATGGTCAAATATGTAACACAATGGACATTAGCACAAAATAAAAATCATAACTAATTCAAATTAAATCCTAAAAATGTAAAGTCAACACCTAAAATTTCTTAAGACATTCAGGAACTACAGAAAAAACTTTCATAATTTTTTGATGATTTTTACTATTTTTAATGTAATTAAAACTAACAGCTATCAAAACAGAAAAAATAATACGAAAAAAGAAAAAAGAAATTAAAGAAAATAATGAAAATACAGAAAATATGCTGAAGATAATGGAAACTGCACTCAGTGAGGATCGAAAAGGGGTGAGCACGGTCCCCCCCCTTACTCCAAAACGACACCGTTTTGACGACCAACCATGTGGCGCGCTGCTGGCGCTCGGATCAGGTGACCGAGTCTCCAAAACGGGATTACGTCTTCTCCAAATCCAAATTTTCCAGCGCATGAACAGTACCCGCAGCCATGGATGAAGCTTTTTTTCGGCAAACTTTGAACAACCATAACTCTCTCAATATTTATCTGTTTGCAATGATTCTTGAACCAAAATTGCACGAAAATTTTGAGAGGAATCCAAATATCCTAATAGATCACGCTAAAACCTCAAGAATAAAGAATTCTATATCTCAACCGAAAACGGATCAATTCTTATTTTGTCGCTAAACCTCAATTTTTCTGTCCAGAAATCATCTACATCCTAATTGTAACCTAACCACATGAATCTAAGGTATCAAAAACGCATGAATTAAGAGAAAATTCAAGAAATGAAAACCTTGCTTTAAGCTCCGATTGTGGTGGTTTCAGACCTCAATTCTCCTCCAACAAGTGCAGAAAAACTTCAATGATTGATGGTGAACGATTCTTGATAATCAAAATTTGTTGTAATCCTCTAAATCTCCAAAACCAAAAAAATCACTTTCAAGCTTTTTCTTCAATTTGCTCCAATGGCTTCTCTCTCTCTCTCTCTCCTCTCTCTCTCTCTCTCTCTCTCTCTATCATCTCTCTCTCTCTCTCTCTCTCTGTCTCTCTCTCTTCTCTCTCTCTCTCTCTCTCTCTCATCTCTCTCTCCTCTCTCTCTCTCTCTCTCTCTCTCTCTCTCTCTCTCTCTCCTCTCTCTCTCTCTCTCTCTCTCTCTCTCTCTCTCTCTCTCTTTAGCTCCAATGAGTCACCAACCTCTATCCAATTTCATTTTTGAATATTTATAGAACATATTAGAACCTTCTAGAGGTAAGGCCCAAGCCCAATCCAAAAATCCAACTCCAAAATTTTTCTCCAAAAATTTGATTATGGTAAACTCAAACTTGTCTCACAAGCTTGCTTTGGAAGCTTCTAGCATCATACACAAAATCCCTTGAATAAATTCAGCTTGGCTAGAACCTTGAATTGCCTTTGTGAGTGATTTCTTTTTGTGATGTTGCTCATTTGTGAAGAAACATGTCAAAACGCCATGAATTATGAGTTAATTGAAAATTATAAAAATTTCCAATGTTTCTAAATCATCATTTCTGATTAAATTGAGTGGTCATTTGGCATATTTTGTGCACATAACAATTTATTTGAATTTCCCATCAAAAACGCCTTTGAATTTCTCCCTTTACAAGGCCACTTCAAACCAATCTTTGATATGAGCCAAACCAATTCACCATGAGCTCTTGGTTGACCTAAAACCCATATTTTGAGCAAGTTACATGTTGAAAAAAATTGCATTCGAGATGTGCAAGTTGGAGATTTTGACCTATGATTGAAAATGGCCTATAAACTCACTTTCTCAAAATACCCCTGACTTGTAAACCTCATAACTTGAGTTCTACAAATCAGATGGAAGACTTCTAATACAATTTGGAAAGCTAAGATCATGAGGAACAACTTTCATGTTTTCCAAGAGCTTAGGAGAAACACCCTCCTAGGTAAAAGGTAGCTTGGAAGTCATATGATTTTCACAGACAAATTTCAGAGGCATCTGAGGACCTGTAACTTGTCTGGACCATAACTTGAGTTCTATAAATCCAATGGAGGACTTCTAGTACTAAAATTAAATCTAAGAGCATGATCTACAAGTTTCATGTTGGCAAAAAATGGAGATGAAACTTTCATCTTGACTTACATGGCTTGGAAGTTTGGCACTAAACAGGGGATTTTACCCTAGGAACCCTGACTTAGCAACTCCAACCACTCTTGATTATTCTCAACTTGTTCTTGGAACAATCTACCATATGCCTCAACATATCATTTCATGATCTCAATGATCTAGAAATAGGCTTTGATCTTCTTCAATTGCTCATTTTGGCCTAGGATTAACCAGATGAAACCCTAGTGACAGCCACTTCAACTGTGGCTCTTGCACTTGATAAAATAACTTGATTGAGCTCTAACATGACCTTCAAGGTACTTCACTGAGCTCTACTCAAACATTCTGTTCTTGAACAAGGCCTCACAATCCACTGTTGATCTTCAACTGGCTCCAAGTGAGGAGATAAGCCCCATACAAGCATTCAAACTTCTTAAGAACTCAACCCTCTGTCTGATGACCCTGATAACTTCTTAAGCTTGAATAATACCTCTGGCTAGGCTTCTTTTGACATGTATCATGCTTGATCCCCTGTTAAATGAAGGATGCTATGCTATACAAATGCTAGAACTATGCTATGCTAATGCAATGAAACATAAACCAAGTGATACAAAGGTTGGGCAAATTTTGGGGTGCAACATTCATCACAATATTGCATAGGCTTATGGGTCTAAAATCTTTTGGAGTATGGGATTATTGCAATTTGGGATAAGCACAATATGAGTGAAGTGGATCCCCCAGGGTCCTTTCCATGATTTAGGATGTCCAACACCAATTTACCCACCTCTCCACCCACAATATGCCAGAAGTTTTGGTAGAATAATGCTGGTAGGCCATCTGGTCCTAGTGCTTTAAGAGGATGCATTTGAGTAAGAGCTTCCTTAAATTCTTGGAGGGTAAATGGTTCACTGCACCAACTGATATGCCATGATTTTAGTTTACCTTAAACTACACTACAAACTTCCTCAATGTTGGCTGGATTTAAAGAAGTGAAAAGCTCCTTGAAGTAGTTTGTCAAAATTCTCTCCCAGTTGTTATCTCCTTTCCACCAAATCCCATTTGCATACTTCAACTTATTTATGGTATTTTTTCCTTCTCCGGTCAGTCTTTTTGTGAAAGAACTTGTTATTCTTGTCTCCATGGTGAAGCCAAATTACCCTGCTCTTTTGCCTCCATATCACCTCTTCAAACTGGAGCAATCTATTTCTCTGAGTCTCTATAGCTTTGTATGTTTGAATAGATTGAGCATCAACATCCCATTTGGATTCATCTTTCAACAGACCTTCCAGCCTTCTAACTTCCTGAGTTATTGAGCTTAACCCATACTCTTTGAAAAGCTCATTCAACCCCTTTAAGTCACGAAGCTTGTTAGCAGTCTGAGCAGGCCTGTTGTTCCAAATCTGAGAGACAAACTTCTCACATCTGGGGTCTTTGGACCAAACCTCTTCAAATCTAAAAAGATAATCCTTTTTCATTCTCTTTTCACCTATATCAGCTTCCAAAATTATCCTGATGGCTACATGATATGAGCCATATCTGGGGGGATGACAAACCTTTACTGGTGAGAATCTATTGATGAAATTGTTTGAAGCAATGGCTCTATCTAAACGATAGTGTACATTTTCTTCACTCACCCTACCATTCGTCAATGTGAAACGATAGCCTTCATAACCTAAATCTAAGAGACCACAAGACTCCAAGGAATCACGACCACAAGAAAGCTAGCTAGCAGTTCTAGTATTCCCTCATTTCTTTTCCTCAACAACAACCACATCATTATAGTCCCCAAAACAAATGACCCTGTCCCCTCCTTTCCTAACCAAGTCTTACAATAACAACCGATTTTTCCTCTTGTTGTGTTTTTCTGGACAACCATACATACCATTAAAATACCAGGGGCCTTCATCTTAAAAATCCATCATAGAGCCACTAGTGTGATTTGTGGAATAGGAAGAGATATCAACATGGATTCTGTCTTGCCACAAAAGGAGAATACCACCAGCTATTTCTTGCCCCTCTCCCACATAATCTACACTAAGACAACATTCAAAACCTGCTTTAGCTTTTATTTTCTGAGCCTCCTCCTTCCTAAGCCTAGTTTCCATCACAAAGACCAAGTTGGGGTTTTCAATGCGAATGAGCCTTATCAAGGCTCAAACTGCACGGGTACTCCCCTACCCCCTGCAGTTCCAACTTAATATTTCCATTGGTTTAGGCGATGTTGGCTGTCTAACACCACCTCTGGTTCTTTAGTAAGTTCATTCATTGGTATTTCCCGCCCTCTTGGTTTTTTCTCTCCCATGTCACTCATATCGATAGTTTCATCTAAAATCATGACATCAACTAGATTACGCTTACCACATTCAACTTCCAACAGTTTTTCCTTGTCTAGTTTCGCTTTCCTTGTGGTTTTCCTCCTCGTCCATTTCCTCTTTTTGCCCTTACCTGAATCATGGTTTATCTTCTGACCATTTCTTGTATTAGAAATATCCACAACTCCTAGTGTCTCTGCCATAGCTTCAACTTCGAGAACCACTTTTCCTTTTGGTTGCTGAACTTCTACTTGTTGTTTTTGCGTTGATTATGGTTCAAGTCTCAGTATCTCCTGATGACAAAATCCTCTTTTCTCTACTTCCCCCTTCGTCTACCTCCTTCCCTTTCCTTTTTTCCTCCAATCTACTTTGGCCCGAGGAGGTATTGAACAGACTTCTACTACACAAACTACAATTAGACTCCTTTATCTTCGAATCCTCTTGTGTCCTTGGGAGATGAGATTCTCGTAACCAAGTTCTAAAAGACAAGTCCTGTTCATCCAGGTCTTTAAACCCTTCTTCGCTTAGTTCACCAACCTCTTCATAATCTTTTACCTGATGACCTAATCTTCCATAAATAAAGCAGAACATGGGGAGACATTCATACTTGAAATGGCCATGCAGGTTCTTTTCTTTGAAACGTACCACGATACCTCTATTCAGGGGTTTCTTGAGGTCAATTCTAGCTTTGAATCTTAAAAATATGTCTTTTCTATGAGCTTTCTTCGTATCCATCTCTTTAAATTCACCCAAGATACCTCCTAGCTTCTTAGCTATGGCTTCAGTACGGAGCAAGGGAGGAAGTTCATAGATCCGTACCCAGAAGAATCCATAGTGCAGATTCAGATCTGAAGGTTGTTCTTCACCTGATATGTGACTCAGAATAAGTATGTTCCTGTCAAAGCTCCAAGGTCCGTTTTTCAGCATATTTTCTAGATCTCTCCTAGCAGCGAAACGAAAAAGTATGAGGTCTTTGTTTAACTCTTGGAGAACAACTGGTTTTCTTAGTTTCATACCCTAAATTTTGACCCTAGATTCCATCATCATTCTAGGAGCATCATGCATTGCATTTCTAACCCTAACCTTGTACAAGTTGCTTTTATTTTGTTTCATCTGAATTAGGGTTTTGAATCAAGAGGATCTTCACTTGATCAGTCAATGTCTTGGATTGATCATCAAACTACCAAGTGTGCATATACTCAAAAGGCCCATCTCCATCAAAAATCAAGTGCAAATTGGTCTTGTTACAAGTTCATCAAGACTCAATTCCATCTGACCATAAATTAGGGTTTCATCTAACAAAGTCTAAAGTGCCTTTAACTTTTGATCAAGATATGATACCAAGCCTTGGGACATGATTCAATATTCCCAAATACATTATTGGAGTCCATCCATGATGTTCAAAAATCTCAAGAGTTCAAGATCATTGAAGATCACACAGTCAAATTTATTTGATACACAAGCTTTAAACTACAAAGTCAACTTTTTGACTTTTGGGTTTTTTGGTTAAAATTGAGGTTCTCAAGATAAATTTCATGGGAAAATCAAGAATTTGGAGGTTTCTTGGAAAAGGGGTAAAGTGGAGGAAGTTGAATTTTTTCTAAGTATGGTGAAAAACCCTAATTTGGTGCCAACTTTGAAAGGTCATAACTTTCAATCTAGACCACCATTTTTTATATTCTAAAGATCAAATTGAAGCCTTCACAACATAATAAAAATTTGTCATATAGGGTTAATCTCCAAAAAGTGAAAGGATTTTGAGTTATGAAGCCATCAAGTTAGTGAAAACTTCTCACACTTAGAAAAAATTTCAAGGCAGTTTTTGTTCTCAAAAAGTACCTAACTTTGGAGCTAGTTTTCACAATGATCCATTACGAATCAAGAACTTCATCAAACATGAAAGTTGTAGAGCATGTTTGGGGGTTTTCAAAAAGTGCAAGAACTTCTTGATCCTATTCTTGAGCTAGGAGTTTTGAAGAAGGGAAGTTGGCCTCAAAATCCGATTTTCAAGTCACGTTATGGAAAACCATGATTGAAATCCTAACCAAAGCCATGAAATTTGGTTTTACAGCCTATATAACTTGTAAATATCCCTCTAATCAGAGAACTCCACAAGTCCTTGGTGCATTACACATTGATTTGAGGCATTATCCAAGTGTTCATACTATTTTTGGAGTGTTTTTCCAAAATGATTACAATGCCATTCTCATAAAGTACCTTTAATCAAGAAGTCAAATTCCCTTGAGCTTCCAAATTGTTTCTTCTGCACAAAACCCTTTCTTTGCACAGAAGCAAGATGTATGAACCTCCAACAACTCTAGGGGAGGCTTGTACCTTGCATTGGAACTTCAAAATTCATAGAACTATCCATTTGGTTCCTAACCAAACCATGAGAACTTCCACTTCTGATTTTTACATGACCTCTGATCTTCCATCCTCCCCTATAAATAGAGGTTCTTTTCATTCTTCTAAGACACAACAAAAACCAGAGAAAACATCCCTCAAACCTCCCAAACTTAGCATCTTGCAAACCAAACCCTCCCTTGTTCCAAGAACCTCAACTTTGCACAAAGCCACCCAAAACTTGTTCTAGCTAAAAATCCCTTAATCTAACCTTCTAAACATTTTGTAAAACATCTAACCAAACTATCCAAACCCTCACCATCATCCCAAACCTGCACAATAAAAAAGTCAACCATTAAAACCTCATTTGGTTGACTTTCTGCACTTTGCCACCCAAAACCTTATCGAGACCATTTCCAAAACATCTAAACCTTCCAAAACACTCCATAAATCACCCCTAAGTTGTTCCAAGCCTTGCTTTGCATCTGTAGCTTCATTTACTTGAAGTTCCATTTTGGCACTTTTCTCATTTTTGCAAGAAGGAAGGCATTGTTTGTTCCGAGTAATTCCAAGTGCTCCTAAGCATTCAAAAGCTTCTTTAGAGATGTATTAAAGCTATCCAAATCATCAAAGTATTTCAGTAACAACTCTTGTGAAGATTTCAAGTTTTTCTTCAAGAGGTAAGTTCACTTTAATCTTGAACTCTTTAAACCATGCCATACTTTGATCCACATTGAGCATAAGTTTGTTTGATATCATGTTTATGATATTTTCTATCCATTAGTTTCCATTTATCCTCAATGAATATGACTGTACCAATTAAAATGCAAACTTGAACTTTTTTGAGGTTTTGTTTTCGTGTTTTGAGTTAGAGGCATAATTAGACAATTTTAATTACACCACTGAATTCCTTGTTGAAAAATACGCAAGTTTGGTTTTTGTTTCATTTGATTTCATGGTGTATTCAGATAGTTAGAGTCGTTCTTACAAATTGAAGTGATGAAGATGATGAAGCTTCAGCCATGGCGCCTTGGTTAGGTTTCCAGGTCATTAATTGGCTTATATTTTATTTAATGAGAGTGATACAATGGATGTATCACCATTCTAGTGGTTAATGGCCAGTGTGTATTGTGTGTTTGAGTGAAAGAACTGGGGTTCGAATCCCCCTCACCCTAGTTCTTTTTATTTCTTTTCCTTTTTGAGTTTTTCAAGGGTTTTTTAAATATATATATTTATGCTTCCACAAGAGTGTCAGATGCGTGCTAGTTCGATTGGTATTATTTTGATTACACAGTTCAGTGGCATGGGTTCAACACCCACCAAGGTCATTTCCTTATTTTTTTTATCACTCATTTTTCTCATTTTCTTCACAAATTAAAACCTCGATAACTTCTTCATCCCAAAAGCATTTTGACCCATTCTTTATGCTACATGTTCATGAGGATGTCTACTTTATGTTTGTAAAAATAAATTCCCAAAAACATTTATTTTTCTTGCACTTATTCTTAGTTAAAGTCGATGACTTTTTAGGGTTTCTTAAAGCTTTCTCTTGATTCTTTGATTGATTCCTTTGATTTCCTTTGTGTACATTGACTTGTGTGAACCTCTTACACCTTGTATAGACCTTATGAAATGTTATGAACTTGTGCATATTTTGTTTTAACTTAAGTTTTGTTGCACCCCAAAATTTGCCCAAAATTTCTTCACCTAGCTTGTGTTTCATTTCATTCACATTAGCATTATCATCTGCATCTCATTGACATGTATGCAAGAGATCAAGAGGTATGATTACCAATCAGGAGCTATACAAGAATGTGAAGCTAGCTAAAAAGGTTATTCAAGTATTCAAGGGTTGATATCCTTGTCAGAAAAGTTAAAAGATCCTCAAAGAGAGTAATTGAAGCCAAGTATGTGGGTCTCCTAACTTGAGAGTTGTGGAGAGCCATGAGATGATTCTGAAGCCATGAAGATGGACTTGAAGTCTTGAGAGAGCTCATGAGAAGTGTTGAAGATCACTTTGAGGCCTAGACAGGTCATTGTGCAAGATTAAGAAGGCTCAGCCATGAGTGGTGCAGCTAGGGTTTGACTGGGTCAACCTAGGTCAACTAATGATTTAAGGAAGGTTGAGACCTAATTCAAGAGCCATGTGATCATTGATTGATACATTGAGATGTTCTAAGAATTATTTCAAGGTTAACTCATCATGATTGAAGAGTTTGAGAAATTTCAAGCTAGGGTTTCTAAGACTTGACAGTGTAAAATCCCCTAGTTTGACCCCTGTCTTCAAAGCAATTTAACTCAAGATATGATTGTCATCTCATCTTGACCCCAACATGATTGTTGTATAGCATGATCTTAGCTTTAATTTGAGTACTAGAAGTCCTTGATAGGGCTTATAGAACTCAAGATATGAGCCAGACAAGTTACAAGTCATCTGAGATATGTGAATTTGGAGCTTGAAAGTTACCCAACTTGCATGAAACTTTTTCCCAAGAAGGATGATTCTTATGAACTTTTGGTAAACATGAATGTTGTTCCTTATTCTCTTAGCTTTCTAGAAAGTACTAGAAGTACTTGATAGGATTTGTAGAACTCAAGTTATGGCTTTGACAAGTCAAGGGTATTTTGGGAAGTTTTGATTATAGGTCATTTTTGGTTATAGGTCATTTTCACCAACTTAGACACCTCAAATAAAATTTTGTTCAACTTGAAAGTTGCTCAAAATGGGGTTTTAACCTTTACCATGTATCAAGGAGACATTGAAATGGCTCAAGGAAAGACTTGGTTCAAGAAGTGGTGAAAAAGGAAGGATTAAAATGGATTAAATGACCAAAAATTCAAATAAATCATTTTGGGTGCA